TTTTTTTTTCCTATGTTGTGTATGACTTAATCTTCACCATTTAACTAGAGAGATCAGCAAGAAGTACGAAGTAGGCCTTTGGCAACACAAATTAAATCATACAAAGAAGAAGATGATAACAGTTTAAGGTCAGTGACTTGAATTCTCAAACATAATTGTTTGTTTCTAAAGTATGTGGATCTTTTACTGTGTAACTCTTTTAGCATACTAATGTTGAAAATCTATTATTTACTGGAGAATATAAAATAATAATGTGGGATTATTTTATAATAAGTCAGATACAGTACAAGTTCTTACCTTTGTCTCCTGTAACTCTCAAAATATTATTTTGAAATTGTAGCAGGAAATCAACACAGACAGAAGACTCCAGGCACCAGTTGGTTAGGAGAAGTGGGTTAATTTCGGCCAGGGGAACTCGGAAGACCTGTGTCTCCAAAAGTGAGGCCCCCCCCACTCAATCTCTTGCCTCTTTTTTATCCATTTTTTACGGTGAGACTGTGCGTGAGGGTCATAAAACAGAGAGAGACATGACATCATCTTCAAGGTCCTGGGCTCAAGGGGAAGGTCACATTGGCTCACTCCCTTTAGACAGGTTAGACCACCTGCCCTCAAAGGGTCCAGGGAAGTTACTAGGTTATAATCTAGGCTCCACGCATGTCAAAGGAAGAACATACAGACTACAGAAATGCCTGCAGCTTGGCTAAGGCCTACACAGGGCAGCTAGGACAGATTCTTTTAGCTCTGCTTTTACTTTCTTGCCTCAACGTGACTAGTCTTTTTACCAATTTAGGGTTAGAGGGATTTCTTACAGTTAGAATCAAGGGGTGGTAAGTTTCAGTAGTGCAATTAGTTGTCACTTCGCCTTTGTCTAGTATGAACTCTTTCTGGCTATCATCTTTAATACTCCAGGTGCCTTCTATTACACATGGCCAGTATGCACATTCAGCACATGGGTAGTCTACAGAGCACAGATACTTCTGATTTCTCCTATAAGACCTTTCCTAGTCAAGTGATCCACATGACATTCTGTGCTTGCTATGTGCAAGTTTGAGCGCTTGGCGTGCATCAAATCTAAGAGACACCTGGGTTGGATTTCCACTACTAGAAGTTCCCTCTCAGCTCTCCAATCCACTGATTCTGTTCAGATAGTAAACTCATAGTAATTGGGCAGCTCTGAGGGATTGTAGCAAACATGAAGTTGCCCATACCCAGGGTCACACACCTTATATTCAGTAGTATTATATAAACAAGTCCCTCACCAAGTCCCTGTACATTCATAGTAACTATAAAATAATAGAACAATTGTCACTCTCTGGCCTACTTTGGTTACCTTATGAATACATTGATTACAATTTTCTACATTAGCATTCTGAATATTTGCACAATCTAAAGTCCACTTAGCTCTCATGAGTCCAATAAAGAACAGTCCCACAATGA